TTGACTATTTGCCGGACACTGAGCTGAGTAGTCGTCAGTCCATCCCCTCTTTGAGTCCTCACGACTCTGCAAGGCAAGTGTGTTTATCATCCCCACTGTACAGATGAAGACACCTGTGGTGCAGAGAAGTTAAGGGACTTGCTAGGAAGAGGCAAGGCTGTGATTCGAACCCAGGTCTGACTCTAGAAAGCACACACTTAACCATGAAGCAGAGAGCAGGGTACCGGAGAGAAAGTAAAGGACTGCCCTCGGCATAGAGAAGATCTCTCTGCAATCCTGTATTTCACCCTGCTTTTTTAGCCCAGGCGGGATGACCATACCATTGACCTACTGACCTGGTAACCAGCACTGGGGTGGCTCTGAGTCAAAAGCAGAAAATGCCGGATAATTTCACATCTATTCGTTGGGTCATGAAGTGGGATTAGGAGTGGAGCCAGGGTCAGGGACAGGATAATCGTGCCTTGCCAACATAATTATATCCCCTGCACTCTGTGATCGAAATGATTGAGTCAGAAGGTCTTGCTTTGTGCCCGAGTCATCTGACTGGCTCCCAAAGAGGCCACCCGGGGTAGTTTCACCTTGATGAATTTACCACAGAGCTGAACCTGTTTCACAGCCAAATCAACGTCCTGAAGTTCATCTGCTTAGAGGAGACTGGCTCCCATCAATCCAACTCGTAAGAAGCTGAAGTGTATAACCAGATACCCATGTGTTCATTAACAGTGTTGGTTCTTCAATAATTGGAATGTTCCTCCCTCAACTGGGGTATCCTTTTCCCAATATCAGCAATCCCAAGGAGCCAAATCAGTCATCAGTGGGCTGGTTGGTGAGTGTATCCCGGGAGTTAAGGGAGGCAGAATTCATCCAAGTCAGGGTGGGACTTAGTCAGTCAGCTCTGCCTCACAGCAGGGCACCTCTGTGTGAGCTCCAATTTCGAGTTGCTTTCCTCCTGGACACTGGTGGGTAAGTGTCAACTTTGGGCCTCTTGGCTTTACCCTGCTTCTTTTTCCTTCCTCTTTCTATTCGCCAGCCTCATCCCTAATCGTTGTTTCATGCATTCTCCAAACAATGTACTTGATTAGGTTGCCGAGCAGATCATTCAATTAGCATCACATTCCAGCCCTGCCTCCCTGAGATTCCATTAGGGAGGTCGCCTTGATGGGGAGGTTGGTTGTTCCCCAGCTCTTCATTCACTTAAAAAACTTTTTTGTTTATTCTCAGATATATTAGGTTGAGGAAACTGCTGTTTTGGTAAGTCAAAAACAGTCAAATAGAAGCAACTTCAGGGCCAGCCAGTGGTGCAGCGGTTAAGTGTGCGTGTTCCGCTTTGGTGGCCTGGGGTTCTCCGGTTCAGATCTCGGGTGCGGACACGGCACTGGTTGGCAAAAGCCATGCTGTGGTAGGCGTCCCACATACAAAGTGGAGGAAGATGGGCATGGATGTTAGCTCAGGGCCAGTCTTCCTCAGCAAAAAAAGAGGAGGATTGGCAGCTGATGTTAGCTCAGGGCTAATCTTCCTCACACACACAAAAAGAAGCAACTTCATGTGGTTCAGGTAACAGCAGTCCAGATCCATTAGGGGTGGGCTTAACAATTCCAACTCCCTTTTGCAAGCCTTGGTGGTAGGTGCATGTGTTTGTGCCTGGGGGCGGGGGTGGGGGGGGGGGCTGGCCGTCATGAATGGAAGCCCTTTACCTCTTTCTGGAAACAGGCTTTTTTGGGTAGCCACTGGTCTGGGGCCTCATTCCTCTTGCTGTCCATTCATCCTCTAACTAAGGCCTTAATGTCAGGGATGAGCTAAGGAGGGACTTGAGGTTGAGAGAGAAGGTCGAATTCTTTGTTATATGTGACAGAGTATGTGTTCTGAAGCCAACGAGGAACAATTTTGAGGAACACTTTTAGATAGTTGACGGTTTGTGCATTCCTCTGTTAATGTAGAAAACTGGGGACTAATGGAGACATTTGACATATTACAAACATCAGTCAAACGCCTGTGTGATGTAGGCTGTCTGCCCAACACCATTCCTAGCTGCACGGCTTTGGAGTGTGCTATAATCGTATGTATACTTGTGTGTCTGCTTCTGGCTACCAGCTTACCCCCATACAGTAAGCTCTGTGAGGGTAGAGCCTATATCTGACTTTGTAATCCTTGACTCCCATCATAGGACCTGGCATACAGTAGGTGCTCATTAAATAAATGTTTTATATAAATGAATAAGGGAATGAATGAGTATGGTTAAACAACAAACAAATCAAGAAAATACCAGGAAGCCATCAAATACCATACCAGAAGAAAGATCTTTGGATCTTTAAAGGTCAGGAACCAGGCTGCCTGAAGAAGGCAACAGGGGCTTCCCAGAGAGGTGACCTGAGAGTAGTTGCTCCCCAATTAGAAGAGGTTGGTGGACTAGCTCAGGCAGTGGCATAGTCTGCCTCACAGATGTGAGGGAGGAAGCCACAAAAGACAAGAAGCCACAAATGAAAAGTTTGCTCCCCATTTCCTGGCAAGGGCTCTGGCCAGCGTGAGCTGCATTCCTTTGAGCTGAGCATGTGTGGAATTTCCAGCCTAGGTAGCAGAATGGAACTTGGAACAAAGAGCTCAGCAAAAAAGAACCCAGGGACAATGGGGCTGGGCCCAGCTGCCCTTTGCCAGCTCTTGAGTTCATGGAATATTGGAGCTCAGTGGGCCTTGTCAAAGGAGATAAATGATGTCCTTTGGATTGTACCACTTCAGAGGACTGAAAAAGAAATTTCCTTGCGCGGACAGATTTAGGATCCTTAGAAGATGTGCTGAGATGCCTGGGAAGGGTCTGAGGCCTCACCACTATTCAACTTTCCATGTAGCAGGGACAAGAGAAGGCCTGTTTCACTGTAAAGATGGGGAAGGTTCAAACGTTGGAAGGTGGAGGGGAGACACTTTCATCAAGAGAGAGCTGGAGGATGCTTCAAGATGCGGGCGGGTGATGACGAGGGCAGTGGTGATGGCAGGATTCAAGGCTCTGTGTAACCGGTCTGGAGGAGGGTAGCAGGGGAGATTTAAGAGGAAGAACAGGTGAGAATATGTGCTGCGGGTTTCAGGGAGAGGGATTCAAAAAGGAAGGGACCAGCTTCATGGAGAAGAGAATTAACTACAGACAAAGACATAACCACAAAGATGCTGGTCTCTCTACTGGCCTGACCTGAATTTCTTACATCTAATCAAGTTCTGGGAGTGTGCCATCAGTCACACTGAAAAATCTAGAGGGGAATTTTGCTGGGTCAATCCTCAACTGCTCTTCCTTCTCTGCATTTTCCCAAGTCATTAATTCCTTCAAGACACTGATATATTGATGGGGACCTAAGAAAGGCAGGACTGAACTCCAGTTATTCATGTCTAGATCTTTTCTTCTAGATTATAAGGGAGTTGAACGCAGGAATGACGAATTACTCAACCTAGAATAAGGCACAGTGCCTTAAATATAGCCAAATAGGTGCTTCATAGATGAAGAACGAACGAACAAAAGAAGGAAGGGAGGGAAAGAAAGGAAGAAAAAGAAATTTGATCACAGATGTTAAGGAAGCTGGGGGTGGGGGCCAGTACTGAACTTGGCCTACATCACAGGAAGATACAGGGACATCACAGAAGGAAGTTACCTCGGGCCCGTCCATGATGGTTGGGGGCAGTTTATGTTTGGGGAATAATACGTAAGCTGCTTGTTGGCCAAGGCTAGGTCCTTGATATACTTCTTTGATACATCCTGGCCTAAGTTCTTTAAAGGTAGTGGAGGTAGGGGAGGGGAGAGGACTACCTTTACTGGGGAAACTGTAAAGCAAGAGACAAAGGAGAGCCTCCATTTACTGACTCCGCTCTATCTGCTCCATGAGGCTACTAACATATGTCTGAGTCATTTCCTCGGTGGTTGTGACAGTTCTCTGTCCTTACAATGAGGAAGTGGAAAGTTTAATACCTTACATTAGACCACTTTTTTCATATGCAAGGATTCATTTCATTCTCAAGGCCTATAGGGTACTTAAATGGTAAAGCCGGTTTAACACCAGCATTTTATCCCCCGCCCCTATGATATACCATTCCCCTCCTTTTATCAGGGATAAAAGGTAAGGAGAAATTGCAGTCATCGTCCGGACTCAAGCCAAGGCAGGGTGCACTATTTAAATGTATTAAAAAACCATTTATCTGTCATCTAACGTGTTGAGCACTGTGCTGGGCAGCCAAAAGGTACTCTTTCCCCAGGTACCTAGTGAGAGCTAACATCCCTACTTTACAGATCAGGAGCTTGAGGGTTAGAATTATTTAGCTTGGTCTTATTAGACATATCTAGTAGAAGGCGGCGTTCAGACAAAATTAACCCCCTTTTATCTACCTACTCTCTTATTAAAGATCTCTTGGTAAAGGAGACCTAAACTTCAAGCCCACGACTTCTCTCACTTTCATAATGATCATCCCGTAAGATGAAAATTAATAGTTGCCAGACCGCAGAGGGTGCAAGTACAGAGGCCAGCAGAGGGGGAGGTCCCATCTTTAACGTAGCTAGGTTAACGCTATTCCTTTCCGTTTCGCTAAAGTTCAAAGGATCACAAGGCCACCAGTTCGCTCTGGGAGAGCAGACACACGTGTACCCTACGCATGCGCCCAGACAGCACCCACCCACCCCTTGGACCACACCTCTCTAGCCAAGTCACCAACCAGTCCTCTAAATGCCCGCCCTCAAGGCTAAACCCTCGGCCAATCGGAAGGCAGAGCTCAACAGGAGCGTCACTTATTTAGCATACACCCTCCTTTCCCCGCCCCCACGCCACGGCCCCGCCCCGTCTGAGGGAGGGATTGTTGCCTCAGCGCTTCGTCCTGGTACCTGATTGGCCCCTTTGCCAGCTCGGCCTCCGTCTCCTCCCACCGCCCTCCCCTCCGCGCTCCCCCAGCGGCGGGCGGAGCTAAGTGCGCCGGCGCGGGCGCTGCCTCTCTCTCGGTGGCCCGCCCTCCCTCCTCCCCCTCCCTCCCCTCCCTCCTCCTGTCCCTCCTCCTCTCCCTCCTCGCCGGGCCTGCGCGCGCGCGCCTCCCTTCTGCACGCGCCGCCGCTAGCCGAGCACTGTCGCAGGAGCCTCCGGCCCGCGCGTCCGTCTTCCCCTCCGGCTGCGGAGCGGGCGGGATCCTGCACCGCGGGCGCGGCGACAGCGGCAGCTCCGGCGGGTCGGGCGGCAGCCGCGTCGCGCGAGTCCCGCGGCGAACCGTACCACCGCCCGCCGGCACGCGGGGGGAGCCGCCCGCCCCGCCGCGCTCGCCTCGGCGACCCCGCGGGGCGGAGGCGGCGCCGCGCCCGGGAGCGTGAGCGCAGCGCCCGCCTCGACCCGAGCCCCGAGCCCCGAGCCCCGAGCCCCGCGGGCCGTGCCCGCCGCCGGCCCCACCCATCCGGGCCGAGGAGGCCGCGGCCATGGCCGAGACGGAGGAGCGGAGCCTGGACAACTTCTTCGCCAAGCGGGACAAGAAAAAGAAGAAGGAGCGGAGCAGCCGGGCGGCGAGCGCCGCGGGCGCGGCGGGCGGCGCCGGCGGGAGCAGCGGAGCCGCGGGCGCGGCGGGCGGCGGGGCGGGCGCGGGGGCCCGGCCGGGCGACGGCGGCACTGCGGGCCCGGGGGCCGCGGGCTCCGGGGCCGCCACCAAGGCCGTGTCGAAGGTGAGGGGCCGGGGAGGCCGGGACTCGGGGCGCGGGCCGCGCGCCCGCGGCCCGGGGAGGCGGCCGGGAGGGGCGGGCGGCGGGCGGGCGCGGAGGCCGGCCACGTGACGTGGGCTCCTCACGTCGGGCCGGCTCGCACGGGGCCGCGGCAGCCCTCAGCCGCCCGCCCCGCCCCTTCGCCCCGCGTGGCGCGGCGGAGCCGGGAGCGAGGCGGCGGCACCCGCGGGGGAGAGGGGTGCCCAGCGCGGAGCGGCGTCTGTCGGGTGACGTCTGCTCTGAGTAATTCCGTTTTCCGACTTGAGCCCGGTAGTCTGAGCTGAGTGTTCTAAGGATCGCGTTTGTGGCCGTTCTAATTGGCGTGACCTGGGCCCTAAGCCTTGAAAAGGGAGAGTCTCGTGGCGACCTGGAGGTGCATATTTAGTTGTGGAGTTGCTATGGACCTGTTCTTTCGGCTCTTCGTAGTTGCTTTCAAAGTAGCAGCTCTTATGGAGGAACCCGCTGGAAGTAACAGTGTTTGACCGCTGGGCACGTTTGTCCTCCAGCCTAGTTGGCCTCGGGATCAAGCAAGGGCTTTGGCCGGAAAACGAGTCCATACTTGAAACTCCAGCCGCTTGATCTCCTTTTCGTAGTCTCATATTTGCCTTAGTTGTGGTTTTACAAATAACTTTTAATTGATCAAATGGTGTGTGTTTTTACAGGATGAAGATGAGTGGAAAGAATTTGAGCAAAAAGAGGTTGATTACAGCGGCCTCAGAGTTCAGGCAATGCAAATAAGGTATGGTCTGGTTACCGAAGTCTTAAGATAACGTGTTGTGTCTTTGGGCTTTTGTTAGCACCAGAACATCATCATGCTTTAGATATGCTTATTAGGGCTTTTCTGCGTTGTGTCTCTCCCTCCCCTCTCTCCCCTGGCAGTCCTTCTACATGCTGATGGAATTAGCTGTCAGCTCCAAGACCCTGTGAGAGCTTGCCTACTTCGACTCCTGGTTAGGTCTTTTCATTGGAGGCAGCTAAAATGGATTTTGTGGTTTCAAAGTTTTCACTTTTAATGTAGGGGGGTTGAACTTAGTTTTTCTTTTTGTTTCGAAAATAGTGGGGATGGTTTCCACATCCTCTCCGGTAAGCAAGTTAATATATATTTTTGTAATTGAAGCATACTTAGAGAAGTACAGATTTTTACATACTCACGTTGTGAAACCGACCTGTGTAATCTGCACCGTTGTGGAAAAACTGAACGTTACTGGTAGAGCAGAAAACCCCTCTCCTAACCCCTTGTAATTCATGCCTTCACCCCCAGGGATCGCCACTATCCTAACACTAGAGGTCTATTTTCCCTAAAATTTTATAAGAATGGAATCATAGTCTAAGCATCTTATTTTTAAAGTTCAAGAAAACAGTAATTTTTAAAAATTGGATTGGTTGGTTTAGAGGACTTGAAATTAAGAGTATATTTTATCAAGTCTAATCTATGGTAGTTAGTTTTAGATTCGTGTAGATAAATGTCATTTTTATTGGGGGTTCATAAGTTAGAAAAAACAGGTTTAAGGTTAAAAACTCTCTCTTGCCAGTTTAAAGAAAGAAATGATCCTGGTGAACCGCCTCTGGGTTGAAGCTTGCAATTTGGACCATATGACACAGTGGAGGAAATAATTTTCCTTGACAAAATACTGTCTTTGACCTCTCTAGGTGGTAATGCTTATGGCCTTAAATAACTTACTCAGAAACCTGGGCTCATATTTTTGACATTTGTTGAATAGTTATCACAGCTAGGCGTTAATGTCCTAGGTTATTTGACATCGTTTCATGAGCTTATCCAAAGTGAAACCTGACTAATGGTGAGCACCTTAGGAAATGTGCTTTCTCCACCCTTGAGATTCCTTTGTAGTGGTGTTGAGTGGAAGTGATTGGATTGGAGTTTTATTCCCAGCCACTTCTTGGCTTCTTACTGTGTTAGGTGTTTTTGAAGAGGTGTGGTTTAGAAAATATCCCTATTTTCTTTTTCCTGGGCTTTGAGTGTAAAAGTGGGCAGGAGGGGATGAGGTTCTGAATCATTGGGAGTTGTGGGCGTGTCTGTGTGTGGTTACGCCACGGTGTTGTAGAATGAGGCTCTTGGTCTGCCCTTCCTGACTGCAGGCCCCAGAGTCTTCCTGACTGCGGATTCTTGAAGACTTGCATGACAGGAGGGCTAGTGTTGGGTCACGTTGAACTTACTGAGCAAGAGTAGCACTTTCCAAGGGGAGGGGAGAGGTTTCAGGTTCACTGGATGCTAGAAATGGATTTTATGTTATGGAGGATGTTTAAGCTGTTCCTATTTTTCTGTGATTCAATATACAGTATCTCCCATGTCCATATTCAAGGTTATGTTAGTCTTTTTTGGCTGGTCCTGAGACGGTGAAAAGTTTCTTAAATAACTTACGTCCTTCACCTTTGCCAGGGGTATGAGTAAATCTCAGCTTGTATGAGCATTTAGGTGCTGCTTTTTAGCAGTTTTATATCGTGTTTTCTCATTGCTAGCATCTAATCACTGCCCCTGGGTGGCCGTCCAGATGTCGTCTTCTAATCTGCTAACTGAAAAACACACGTTCTCGTGGAAGCTGCTTTTGTGGGTCCTCAGTCACTGTGAAGTCTGGGGTCCCTGTTTCCGTTGCCTTCATAAATCATTCGTTAAAGGGGAATCTGACAGCTTCAGGAAAGGCTTGAGAGTGAGAAGCCATCTGAGCTTTAATACTAATGGCTAAAACTTTCACTTGATATACTGAATAGCCCAAGGGAAGGACGCGTTTGTCCATAGGAGTGGGAAGTCAGCCACTCACATAAATGGGGTGGAGTTGATGAAGTAGCAAAAATGCGACCTTTGGGGAGAGACAGACCTGGGTTTGCATTTAGCCTTGCTGCCTACGTGTGACCTTGGCCAAGTCACTTGACTTTTGAATGTTGGTTCTTGTCTATCAACTTGAGACAACTACTCAGGGTGGGGAGAATTTTGAACAGGACCTTTTGTAAAATACCTTTTGTAAAATACTTGGTTAACATTAATCTTATCTTCTCAATTCAGTGGATAAATCAGAATGACTTACTCTTGGGAGTTTCTCTGCAGTTTAACCATGAAGCACCTGATTTGTAACACCAAGTTTGAGGGGAGGGAGTGGAGGAGGCACATAAGGTTATCACGATTAAAGTCAGACCCTGGTGAGTCAGTTCACTGTGGACACAGTAGGAGAAAATGACATGTTCAAGTTGGCATTACTATAACCATACAAACAAAAATCCTTCTCTTAGTGTGTTAAACGTTGCTAGCGATCTCAAATGATTGTCTTCTGTGGCTAGGTCTTAACTTTTGGGCAAAAGCCCTTAGAATGGAAAAGAAATGAGATTTTCTCTTTTCTATGGGATTGGAGGTGGAGATTCTTTATGCTTTTAACCTGTTATCTTTTCTGTCTGAGAAAGAGGCAGCCTTGCTATCTCAGTATGGGACAAGGGAAAATGAAACTCTAGAAGTTGACTTAAAGTATCTTGAAATTCTCAGCCTATAATCTTAAATTTTTTTCTCCCAACTTTTTGCTGTGAAAAATTACAAACCTCAGAAAAGTTGCAGTAGTAAAATAAGTACCCATACCATATACTCTTGGCTTAGCTCTGCCAATCATTCTGGCCATATTTGCTTTCTCTTCAGTTAGCTGCAGATACTGCATACAGTCTTAAAGGTCTTGACATTGATCCTCACAGAGTGTTAACATGCTGGACCTTTATCCAAGGTAAGTGTACATTGGAAAGGGAAAAGTCTCAGCAGCAGCAAACATGCTATATTAATGTCCTCTCTGAGACTTACCAACTAGCTCAAGATTTAAGTACCAAGAGTAATCTCAGGGCACGTGTCAAGTTTTGTGTGTAAGTTCATAGATCTTATTGCAGGTCATGTCATTATTTATAGACAAGTTCTTGAGAGGGAAGCCCTTGGGATGGAGATAAAAGAGGAGCCTAACACTTGAGCTTAGATTATTGGTTGATAGTAGGACCTGTGGCTCGCCTCTCCCGTCTTTAAAATGGGTTTTGGGGAGAAAGAAGGATTTTGTTTAATACTTGAGGTTACTGAATTTGAGGATTTGTCATGTTTCAATAAAGAGTTGAGTTCCTGGAGCCTGGTGGTTTTCTAGGAACCTTCTTAAATCCAGACCTTTGACCCATTAGGTAGAGCTGATTAGGTTGTCCTTTGAAGAGAAGAAATTACTCCTGCTTTCATGTTGGGTTCATTGTAGCAAATATTTGCGTTACTGCTGTGTGCCAGGCTGTGCCAGGCGTTGTGCTGGGCTTGGGGTTGTAAAAATACCTCGGGCTCTGGTAAGTACCGGTGACCGTTTAGGTTGTGTGCAGGGTGCTGTGGGCACAGGAGAGACACTTAGTCTCCCATGAAGGGGTCAAGAAAGAGTTCTTGGATGCGGTGCAGTGACATTGTAAGCTGCCAGGCATAGCTCACCAGGCCGTTTCTGTCTCCCGATTTTACTGCTTTTAACAGTGGTTGGATAATAGGGTCAAACCAGTGGAGATGCCCAGCATTCCAGCAGAAGCGCAGTAAAGTCTGGATTTTGTTTTAGCTGCTTCCCCCCTGGTGTTGGGGAAGGGGGGTTAGGATGCATACATTCTCATGTAATGTCCCTTGAGATAGGGAGGTAGGAACATTCTGTTCTTTATAAATAGTATACTGCTGCAGGATACGTAATCCTGATCAGCCTTACTAAAGAAAGTGGATTATTCAAACCTCAAAATAGAGAAAATTTCTGTGTCATATCTTAGAGCTGTAAAGAGGATGAAATGAAATGAGGCAGCCTGAAAGAGCATGGGCTCTGGGGTCCCACTGACTTGGCTCTGCTACTTTGTAGCCCTGAGGAAGGTGCTCGAGTGTCCGTTTCCTCGTGTGCACAGTGGGTCTTCTCCCTGCCTTAGTGTTACTGCGAGGTTTAACTTTGTAGGGTCGGTAGAGCGCTGCCTGGAGTAGTTGGTGTGCAGTAAATACTCCTTTCCCAGCATCGTCATTTGCCTTACCCCACCAGTGGTGCCTCACAGGCTTATGCATACTTAAGACAGTAGATTATAGTTGTGATAATGAATTTCCAGTAGCATTGTAGTGTTTAAAAACATCCAATTATCTGATGAGAAGCTATATATTATGTTTGGGTCAAACACTGAATTTTAGCCCAGTTGTCTTATGTGGAAGTAATTCTTTGCAACATGATTCTTGTTCTGGCTTTGGCATTTGGAAATTCGACATTTTCTGAGATATGTAAATATGAAAAATTAATAGGATGTTTAAATCATGTCTACCCTGCCCTTAGTACTGTGGCATTTTGGCAAGGCTCTTAGCATCTCTGGGCCTTAGTTCCCGCTGATGAAGGGTCTTGACTAGACAATTTCTAATGTTTAGATTAGCTAATGTTTCAGAATCTTAAGAAGCCAAATAAGTTGTCTTTTTGTGCCTGTTGTAGATATACAATCCCTCTAATTAAACAAATCACTCTTACTTTTTAGTAATAGTTTATAATCAAAGTCTTTTTTAGATTTGTGATTATTTTATTCATTTTTTTCACTTATCTCTGAGGGTGAAGAGGTGGTGAACAATAGACAGCAAAGGAATCTTCTTTTACATGAAACTAAGTATTCTGAGACTAAGTTGGAGTTTTTCTGTAAGATTTTTTTGTGAATTAGGAAACCAATATGCTTTTTTTTTTTTTTTTAAAGAACCTTGGAAAAGTATAACAGCATAGAGAAATTTGTAAGAATTATCCATAATCCCTTCTGCTTAGGCAGAATCAATGTTAACATTTTTTAGTTTTCAGTTTATTGCAGACTGATAATTCTGGAGTTTAGATATATTAATCATAAAATGTTAAAGTAATTTGAGGGGAAAGCTATTTTTAGAGTCCAATATATATATTTGAACAGTTGTGATCCAGTGCATTGCTGAGTTAACCATTTCAAAGTGTAAATGACCGACTGGAAGCCATCACAGCTCAGGTGGCTAAGAGTGTGAAAGTGCCACAAAGGCACTGAACTCCTTGTGGGGGGTCTTCCCTCCCTGTCTGCTAGGATTGGGATGCTGGGACATTACTAACTAGTCACTTGTAGCTCTGTGAATAACCCTCATGCTTGTACTTGTGAACCAAGCAAATTACGTTAGAGTGTGAGTACACTGGCCTGGCTTCAGATGGGGGTTACCTGAGGATTTTTTTATTTTCCCTTCTTCTCCCCAAAGTTCCCCGGTACATAGTTGTGTATTTTTAGTTGTGAGTCCTTCTAGTTGTGGCATGTGGGACACCGCCTCAGCATGGCTTGATGAGCTGTGCCATGTCCGCACCCAGAATCTAAACCGGCAAAACCCTGGGACGCCGAAGCAGAGTGCGTGAACTTAACCACTTGGCCATGGGGCCGGCCCCCTGTGGGTTACTTTGAAAAAGAAATTCTTTTGGGACAATTCTGATGTTTGGATACCACAGTTAGACTCCTGGATAGATTATGACCTCCACATCCTTACTTGGTCGTTCATTCCACTTACAGGTTTTAGAACACAGAATCCTACTGTTTGGTATCCATTTTTAAAAATTCATTTGAAAAGAATGTGTTTTCATGTTTTTGGGGTTTTTTTGTGAGGAAGATTTGCGCTGAGCTAACATCTGCTGCCAATCTTCCTCTTTTCGCTTGGGAAAGATTGTCACTGAGCTAACATCTGTGGCAGTCTTCCTCTATTTTGTATGTGGGATGCCCATCACAGCATGGCTCATGAGTGGTGTGTAGGTCCGTGCCTGAGATCCGAACCTGTGAACCGCAGGCCGCCGAAGCAGAGCCTGCAAACTTAACCACTAGGCAACCGGGCCAGCCCCTTTCATGTTTTTTTTTTCCTTCTATTACAAAGATGGTATATGTGCTGCTTGTATGAAAATTCAAGCAAATATTAAAAAGCACATACGAGTGAACATTTCCAGCACTTACTGTGTGCTGGGCACTGTTCTCAGCACTGTGTGTCTGTTCACTCACTCGCTCGTCATAATGGGGCTGTTATCCCCATTTTGCATACGAGGAAACTGAGGCCTGCAGAAGTGAAGTGTTGTCTTCACAGTCTCCTGGCTAGTAAACGGTAGAGCCCGGAGGACTTGAACCAGCCAGTCTGGACAGCTTTAGAATCGCTCATTTCTTCTTTTAATATTTAAAAAATAATTCCAGATGTCTTTCTACTTATTAGATATATGGATTTTATTTTAGTAAGTTATTGGTTTAATATGCAGGAATGCTACCTCCATGTTAGTGTAGGCCTAACACATTTTATTTTATTTTCCCTAACACAACATTTTAAATAGCTGCATAGGATTCTCTCACGTGTTAAGGAAAAGGAAAACTGGAGTGGCTTGGCCATGATCTCCATCCCTTTTTCCTCAAATTATAGTCTTAAGTAAAATCTTGCTATAAATGCAAATCGAAGATGTTTGTTCCCCTCTCCCTTCCTTACTGCCACCCTAAGCCTCTGAATTCTAGAATCATCTCTGGTTGGTGGGTAATTCAGATGATGCTACCATTATCTTTGAAATTTTTTACAAGTGTCTTTAAAGGAGACCATTAGCTGTTTAAGAAATTCGTCTTGTAGTCAGGACTTGTCTTGTTTTAATAGAAACGGAGGGGATTCATCCTTAGATGTCCTTTTGCAGAAGCCAAGAGAGGTCGGGATGTTCCCAAGGCGGGAGTCATCTGTTCATTATTACGGCCATGATCATGGATCAGATTATCAGAAGGAGAAAATATCTTAAAAGAGTGGCAGGCCAGGGACAGAGCTGTGGGCAACAGCCATGTGTTTTTTTAATAGAAGGGAAATGGGTAGTTAGAATGGTGAAGGAGACCGACAAGTTGAAGACCTAGGAAAAACCAGCGTTGTCATGGAGAATAGTTCAGGGGAAAGGTGGGTGGTCTGTCAGGTGCATCAGCAGCGAGGGCAAAGAGCTACAGAAGGAAGTTTGATTTGTCAGTCTCCCTGCCAGCAAGCCAGCAGGATAGAGAGACAAGATACATATACTTGATGATTTAGAACAGTCAGGTTGATATAAAATAGTAATAAATAATCCAGCAAAAGGAGAAATAATCAGAGATACCTTGGAGAAATTACAGATTTCTGACTCAAGTCCATTTAAGAATAAAGAAATAAAAAATTGGCGTAAAAACCACTGGAGGCAATCTTAGGATGGTGTGTTACCCCTGAGGATTTCTTTTGCATTTATAATCACTAGTAAGCCAAAGACTGAGTTGTTGTAGTCTCTTCTTTATTAAATGAGTGACACATATCTGGTGTTAGGGACCAGTTCTCTGTATTCCGTGTGTCAGACAGTAGAGACTCTAATAAAATCTGTAGCGCTGATGTAAACACTGAACACTGATGTTTCCTCCGTTGGAATGGTGAATTCTAATTTTGAGAGTATTTTGTAACATGTACTAAGGATTAGCAAATGTGAAATTATACAACTTTTAGAAACCATTCATTTGATCACTAAAAATATGCTTACCATAAATGCCTGTTTGTACACTCTTGTCCTAGAAAAATCTAGTAATTACACTTTTAATCCTTGAAGTCACCCTTTTCTCTGCATTTCATGTTAGAGTGCCCTCTCTTCCCTCCCTGAGTGGCTTGAACCAGCAGCTGGGGTCCTGCTCTTACTTGGGGCTGCTATAAATAATCACGCAGATTGTCATGAGCCTGGCACGTCAGTATGTTAAATGTTTCTAACTGTTCTTGAGTGTATGAGGTTTCCACAAACGGAAGTAGAGACTCTGAGACTGAGTGGTTTTCTAAACCTTTTTCAGCATGAAATCCTTTCACATGAAGTCAAGTGGAAGTCCCAATGTATAAAATCCCGTTTCTCTTTCTCTCTCTCTTCAACAAGTGGGGCATTTGGGCTTTGAAGAGGTTAAGTGACTCCAGAGTTGCACAGACCGGCGTTGATAGAACTGAGGATTCGGACTGACAGTTTTCCTGGTGGTTCTGTAATTGAAATCGTTTGTTTGCTTTTCCAATAGTGAAAAGGAAGAAGAGGATAATGAAAAGAGAGAAGATCCAGGTGATAACTGGGAAGAAGGTGGAGGTGGAGGAGGTGGTGTAGAGAAATCTTCAGGTCCCTGGAATAAAACAGCTCCGGTGCAAGCACCTCCTGCTCCAGGAATTGGTAACGCTAGTATTTTATTGTCATGAAGATGTTTGTGTATCATTTTGTATGTGACCAGCTGGCGACTAAATGCGTGCTTGTGGTGGGGGTGCGTGGGGCTCTTTTACCTTCCTGGGAGAGAGGTTTGCATGTGTGTTTAAAGACTTTCCACACCCTAACTGAAGGAATTTAGAAGTTAAGATATATTGCTTTTCTATAGGCTGCTTAAATTTATATGTATACTAACTTGCTGAATTTATTTAAGGATTTATTTCTCTTTTTGGCAGATTAAGGAATATTGGGTACCTGGTTTCACCTGTGTTTGTCTTTTTTTTTTCCCATACCCAATTTAACTCTGTCTTAAAACATGAATTCTTAGAAGGATGGATTTTGTTACTCCCAAGAAGATAAAATATGGTTTTTGAGGGGTAGAAATCTTAGCTCTTAGAGTGCTTTGTGGCCCAGCACAGGGCCAGTCTGTCAACAGGTGTACAGTGTGTCTGTGGTGTTAACCTTTCTGGGGCAGTGGGGTGGGGGTTAGGAAAAAAATGTCTAAAAAGGCTCCTTAGGAGGGCAATAATGAAAAAAGCTTGAGAAACGTTGCTTTAATGTATACCTGTTATTTTATACAGAATAAAATAAAGAATAACAAATCACCCCAAATCTTACTGTTAGAGATCACAGTTAGCTACTTATATCAGCACTTTTGCATCCTTTTGTTATGTATACGTTTTTCCATTTAACCTGTTTTTTAACTGCATCAGCCTGTGGTCCCTAATGACCTCTGCGTTGCTGAGTCCACTGCCCATGTCTCAGTCCTCGTCCGATTTGCCCCATCAGCAGCATTTGCCCCAGTTGGTCACCCCTTTCATACACACTCTCTCTTGGCATCCGGAACACCGCATTCTCCTGCCATCTGGTTGGTTGGTTCTCATTCTCCCGTCCTGGTACTTCTTCCCTGCCTCCCAGTGCTAGTTGGCCCCAGCACTGAGTCCTTGCCTGTCTTTTCTTTGCACCCTCACTCGTTTGGCAGTCTCTAAAGCCAATACCTCTTAAGTTGACGACATCAGCTCAGATCCCCCCTGGACGCCAGACGTGTATCTTAACTGCCTACCCAGCATGGCAGTCTCAGCATTTCCAAAACTGGACTCCTGTGTCGTGCCCCCCCCCCCGACCCCCCACAGCCTTTCTCATCTCTGTTATTGTTTCAGTCATTTAGGCTGCAAACCTTGGAGTCGTCTTTGACACCTTTCTCTGGCTCCAAACCCAAATCTAATCTGTCAGTAAATTCTTTCTGGTTTTATTTCCAAGATAAATTCAGACTGTTTATATGACTAGTTCTCACCAGTTCCACTGTTCCCGCTGTGGTTTGAACTGTCATCCTGTTTTACATGGATTACTGAGGTAGCTTCTTATCTGGTCTGCCTGCTTCTCCACATAGACGCTGTTCCCAGCACAGCCAGCAGCCAGAGTGGTGATCTTTTCCAGGGTGGCAGAGCACATCCCTGTGCTGTCCACAAACCTCCAGTAGCGTCCCCTCCAGTCAGAGGAGAAGCTGAAGTTCTCAGTGACTCACAGGCCTTACACGCCGCCTTATGATCCCCTTTCTGACTTTGTTTCTCTATTAATTTGATCCTGGCTCACTCTGCTGCTTGACTGTACCGGGCCCGCTGCTACTGCAGGCGCTTTTTCCGTAAAGAGCCAGATAGTAAATAATTGAGGCTTTGAGGACCATGCAGACTGTTAGCAGTGCTCGGCTCTGCTCTTGTAGCCCAGAAGCAGCCGTCCACGGTGCAGACCCCCAGTGAGTGTAGCTGTGCTCCAGTGAAACACCCTTTGCAGACCGGCTGTCGCACCAGCTTGGCTTGTTTGCAACTCCAGATGTGTTTGCTGCCTCCCTTCTTGCACACCTTTGCTCAGTTTCTCCGCCATTACCAAGACCCTGTTGGACCCCCTCATTGAGAATCACAGCCCCTTCACTTTGTGCTCCCTTTATAGGCCCTTCCCCACGTGAACTTTTGGTGTGGCCCCCGTCTTTTTGCATGTTTTGTTCCTTCCTCTGCACTAGCACTGTCTGACAGGGCTTTCTGCAGAGATGGAATAGGACTGTTCGCTGCGGTAGCTGCTGGCCACATGTGGCTATGGAGTGCTTAAAATGTGGCCAGTGTGACCGAGGAACTGAATTTTTAATTTTATTTCATTTTAAATGGCCACATGTGGCTAGTGGCCAGAATATATGGTCCATGAAGACAGGGGTTTTCATTTTGTTAACGTTTGTATCCCCACTGTGTAGTTTAGAACAGCACCTGACACATAGTAGGAGCTCAGTAACTAATGAATGCGTGTTACATGCCAGCTTTCCCCCATATAATTAAAAACTATATAGAAGATAGAGCCTTCATAGTAGTACTCAAATGGCTGCATTATATTTCAGCTAATATTTGATGACGTAGATGATGAAATGAAGTTTTTGATAAGTGGAAAACATGTATAAGACAGTAAGTCCATATTGAGGATGGGTGGAAAATGATACAGGAAAAAGCTAGAAGGCTTTATCCCCAAAATGTGAGCTATGAAGACGACGTTGGGCTACTCAGCTGCTTTTTTTTTTTTTTTGAGGAAGATTAGCCCTGAGCTAACTGCTGCCAATCCTCCTCTTTTCGCTGAGGAAGGCTGGCCCTGAGCTAACATTCATGCCCATCTTCCTCTACTTTATATGTGGGATGCCTCCCGCAGCATGGCGTGCCAAGTGGTGCCATGTCCACACCCGGGATCCAAACCAGCGAACCCTGGGCCGCCGAAGCAGAATGTGCACATTTAACCGCTGTGCCACCGCGCCGGGCCCTCAGCTGCTTATTTTTTTCCCCTGTTTTACAAGAAAATAAAAAGAGAAAGAACCTTAAAATCCATTGATGGTATGTAAGACAATGAAATAATTAAGGATATCTTGTAGTTTATTGTTTTTTTTATTAGTCATCTTTAGAGTTAAAAAACACCTGACATGGGTGTTTAAATAAGTTCTTTACACATGGCATCTTATTAACTAACCCAGCAACCAGGTAAAGAAGCGATTGTCCACCTTTACTGATGTGTGAACTGAGGACTGAAGTGGTCATGTTCTGAAAGGCAGTCCCTGAGGAGGCGCGTCTCCAGGGCCAGCACATTCCTTTTCCACTGGCAGTAAATTGACTTATCGAACTCATTTGCATAAATGATTAAAATTGTACATGGAAGGGAAGTCTACTTTACCCTGGAGAAGTAGAATATTTCCATTTTCAGACATTTCCTCAGATACACTTTGTTCTGTTGTCTAGAGGCTCTTCTTACGCAGGTGTTGGGTTTTTTCTGTAATTGTTACATGATCGGGAATGCAGGAATAACTTATTAAAATGGCAAGCATTTGAATAGTTTTTCTAAACTGTTATGAAATGTTAGTTACAGAAACCCCCGAACCGGCAATGACTAGTGGTGTGTATAGGCCTCCCGGAGCCCGGTTAACCACAACAAGGAAAACCCCACAAGGACCGCCAGAGATATACAGCGACACGCAGTTCCCATCCCTGCAGTCCACTGCCAAGCACGTAGAGAGCCGGAAGTGAGTACTGCGCTCTGACTGCGCTTTGTTCTGGAGCTCAGTCGCTTGTAGGGGATGAGATGAGATGTGGGGGTTACTCCTTGGTAAAGCCCAGGCTGCAGCTGAAAGGCGGCTGAGAATTAGGCTGGGGCTTGTGTGCCCAGGATGGGGGAAGGGGGGGTGGGCCCTGGAGGAGGCGAGGGGAGGGGCCGCCAAAGACAGACTTCGTCTGCGAAAGTCTCCCATCCCTGGGCTGTGTTTTGTAGTGATGACAAGTCTCATCCGGTTAGAATTCTTCATTTCTTTATAAGTACATTATTGCTGGTTTATATTCCTTATACAGAAACTAGAAAAGTAAGAGCAATGTTTCATTGTGTTCCCAGTTGCTGTGAATAGGTGACAGATACTGGCATTTATAAATCTAATATTAAAATAATCTTATTTCAGCAGGTACTTAAAATGAATGCTACCTGGAGTTAAATGACCACATATGGCACATCCACATCTTACTTAGGGACGTGAATTTTTAAAAGTAAATAAAATGGGAAGAATGTAAATGACATCAGATGGAAATACTGTTTTTTTGGGTCGCTTTTAAAGTAAATCCCAGCCTTTTTGCCTCTGAGAGCACAACTGGTTTGAATTTAAACCTCCACTCGGACTTGTTCCTCTGCTCTGTCCTACAAAATGGGAGCCGTGACTCACCACTCGTCTTTATGTGATCCACTCCCATAAAGTAGTGAGGAGAAATCACTGAATAATGGATAGAACTTTACTTGAATGAGGAAATAGTTGCCCTTACTTAACACATAAAGAAAGAGAGATGCATTGTCTATCATTTGCAAAAAAGTAGAAGGAATCACCATGTCATTAGATGGCTTTCTAACTTTGTGTCTGTCTTCAAGTTGGTCCCAAAATAGGTTTGCAATTCATAGTATTCAGATTCGCTCCCACAGAAAACAGGACCGTAGAGCTTCAGTGAAGAATGCTGTGTTTTCTGTTCAATTGAAGCCTTAAAAATGGTCTGGTTAAGATTTTATATACTAGTTTTCTCCTCCTGTCCCCTCCCTTGAGATTCTTCTAAGGGATGACCTTTTCTTTTTTAAATTCACAGATGAGTATTTTCAGAACAACTTAGTGAAGAGGAAATATTTACTGATGACATTTCTTTTCCCTTAGGGATAAAGGGATGCAGAAGAGCTTTGAAGTAGTCAGACACAGAACTAGACGTAGGGATGAGGTTTCAGGAAGCCAGGCCCCTACACTGCAGCTAGACAACCGGTGTGCTGTGCTGGGAGGTCAGAGGAGCAGCTGCGCACAGTCCAGTTAAGGACTGGTCTTGGCTCACCCCGCTAGGATAGCTAGACCACAGCTCACGCCAGGAGCAGCCCTCCGTCAGCCCGTCTCTGCTGGATCTCCACCCGAGGCAGACCACTCGCTAGAAGCGACCGGCCCGTTGTGCTGTGGAAGCTCCCCGCTCTCTCTGTGTGTTGGATTTAGGGGGGTTTTCCTTGTAGAAATGTGTGAACTAGATTCAGCAGTGTTCTTTCATAATTGCTCTGCAAATACAAAGCAAAAACAAAAGCTGCAGCCAGTGGTCATTTCGAAATCTTTTTGTGTTCAGATACTGAGCCTTCACAAGGGTTGACTACCTCAGGTTTGCTGCACTCGTTGTGGACTTCGCATGGATCACAGCTTCTGGATGAGGAGGTTACAGCTGTTAGGTGTCGATGTGAAACTTGAAACCAGCTCTACTGGATTCCTATCAGAAATCCTGCAGAAAGTCAGCCATTGGGGTTCTGATCTGCTGTAAAAGGAAGATTTAAGTGACCTTAATTAACCTGTCCTGTGCCCCACCCTTCAGGAGCGCTCTGTCTGGGCTGTGGCTGTCTTAGACTTCCGGAACATGCGGCTTTCAAAGGAACTGATGTGTTCAGATAATCTGTATAGGGCTGTGATTTATAATTTAAACTTTGAGTTGTATTCTGAGGTAACCACAAATTAAATGCAACCAAACTTGGGTCCACCAAGTGGGAAAGGGGGTGGGGGAGGGAATAATCTTGTTTCTTTTAGTAATTTTTTATTTGGGTAGTGCTTTTTCTGTGTTCCACTTTAAGGCCTTTTTTTGCTTTGACTTGGAATGAGTCCTTTGACGGAGCATATTGCTTGGTTAAGTAAGTAACCTGAAATATGCATTAGAATTGGGAAATGTCTCGTGGATTTGCCAATCCCTAGAGTGGAACCAAATAGCCTTTTTTATAAAGGGGTGGATGCAGGGGGCTCTCCTTCAGGTGCTGCTACGGCCTCCTCTGATCAGGTCTGAACGGTAGGTGGACTGCAGCGGAACCAGTGTGCTTCGCTCCGGCCGAGGGATTCGCTGACCTGCCCTTAAAGAGTCAGAGCAACGTGTGCGGAATCGCAACCTCAACCCCACTTAAGTGTCAGGGATCTTGCCTGATCTTTGACAAGAATTCCAGATACTTGTGCCCAAATTTTAAGGTGTTGGACATTCTGTAGATGCAGTGATTGTCCCAGCTCAACTCTATTATCAGCCTTCTGGTGTGTCTTTACGTTGTTCGTTTGGAGAGTCGGGCAAAGAGACAGGTTATGTACACTTCTGTTTTTAATGATTACAGCTTAAACTGTCCAGTAGTTTTTAGTCCTTGAAAGGGACTGCAGGAAGCTACCCAGGATTCCTGAAAAGTCTTTCCATCTAATGAGATAGTCTGGTAATTTGCTAGTTTTGTATCTTTGGTTCGATAGAAATATTTCACAGTGGTGTGTGACCACTTGGTGCAGAGTGTGGGTTTCTCTATAATAAATCCCTTTGCCAAATGCCGGAGTTGCAGACTTGCTACTGGCGAGAGTGAAGCGAATGGGTGAGTCAAACTCTCCTGCTGGGGGAGCGTCTTCCTGTAGGAGTTCAGTCTGATGAAAGTGTCCATGGGGGAATCGGCCTCCTCGGAGGGTCACAGTCTCTCCTGACGGGACCTGCCAACCGTCGCTGGGCAGTCATGCTGGCGTTCTCTGAGGTGGCAGGAGGATGGCTGCCTCCTGACGTGGGTGAGTAGCTGAGCCAGCCAAGGAGAGGTTGGCCGAGGAAGCGAGGAAGCGAGAAAACGAGAGATTCTTGGTTAAACTGAAGACTTCCTTTGGAAACCAAAATCTTAAATAATCTCTTGGACCTTGAGCCACATGTTTCCCCAGAAAAGTATGCATTTTTTCTAGCAAAATTTTGTTAGGGGTTGTGTTATTGAAGAATGAACTGAGATGAATATGTGGAACTGTTATTTAATGGTATGCTGTTCTAGAAATCTGAAGACCTTCAGGAGATTTAAAATTCTAACTCTTGTTATAACTTTTTAAAAGATTGTGAAATTATCAAAATGCACATGAATCAAGTTTTAATATACTGTATGATGGGTGGATGAGGCTGTCCATTGTACCATTTCTTTCTTTGAATTCTCAGGCATGGTTTGGCAGTGCAAGAACTCTGTAACATTAACAAATTCAATAAAAAGTAAATATATGGATTTGGGAGTCTGATAGTTTTTATTCTTAACCCTTAATCTATCTTTGAAAATGGTAAATTGATGTCGTGCCTCCTTTGCTGTGGGAGGATATTCTCATCTCAGGAGTGAACTTTCTGTTTGAGAAATGTTTGCGCACTACTCAATGTTGAAAAGACAGGCCTGGACTGAAAGTGGCTGCAAAGCTGTGAGGAATATTCTTTTCCAAAGATAAAGCATTGAAATCTATTTTTGTCTTTGTTAACTATATTAAATTTTGTTGTCTTAAGTGCTGACAATGGAATCTACAGTCTTTACAGTGTACACTAAAGATTTGAGGGCTTGTTCTTTGAGAAGCTTATAAAAATTTCTCAAATGAGCAGACATTTTAAATTTCAGGGTTTAGTCTGGATTATAGTCCCTAAATTTCGAAACTAGAGAAAGTATGTTTTAAGTCATTTTTGGTAATGGAGTTTACTTGTTTAATGTTAGCAAATTACAATTTGGTCATTCTTTTGTACTTGATTGAGGTTTTTTCTTTTTTTTTTCCCTTTCTTGTTTTTTGAGTTCACAATAGTTTATATCAATGTGAGATTTCAGTTGTACATCATTTCGTGTCTGTCACCACATAGGTGCTCCCCTTCACCCCCCATGCCCACCCCTCACCCCCCTTCCCCTGGTAACCCCTGAACTGTTTTCTTTGTCCATGTGCTTGTTTGTATTCCACTTGAGTGAAATCATCTGGTGTTTGTCTTTCTCAGTCTGGTTTATTTCGCTTAGCATAATTCCCTCCAGGTCCATCCATGTTGTTGCAAACGGGATGAATTTGTCTTTTTTTTTTTTATGCCTGAGTAGTATTCCACTGTATACCACAGACCGAGATTTTTTTTTCTTGAAAGCCCTATTTAAAATAGAACACTCAAAAAAATTCACACTCTCCCATCCTTTAAGTTCCTCTATAGTTTTTTTTTAACCAACTTTGTTCTTTTTTCTGCTTTTTCTCCCCAAATCCCCCCAGCACATAGTTGTGTATTTTAGTTGTGGGTCCTTTTTCTTGTGGCATGTGGGGCAGTGCCAGGTCTGTGCCCAGGATCTGAACCGGTGAAACCCTGGGCCACCAAAGTGGACCATGTGAACTTAACCACTTGGCTACGGGCCAGCTCCTAACCAACTTGTTTTCCTGAGATAAGTTACCCTTTTTATTTATTTTTATTTTTTGAGGAAGATTAGCCCTTAGCTAACATCTGCCACCAATCCTCCTCTTTTTGTTGAGGAAGACTGGTCCTGAGCTAACATCTGTACCCATTCTCCTTTACTTTATATGTGTGATGCCTTCCACAGCATGGCTTGACAGGTGGTGCATAGGTCTGCACCCGGGATCCAAACTGGTGAACCCCGGGCCGCCGAAGCTAAACGTGTGGACTTAACCACTGCACCACCGGGTCAGCCCCCCAATCTTCACTTTCTTGATAGTGTCTTTTGAAGAACAAAAGATAATTTTGATGAAGCCCAGTTTATTTTTTCTTTAGTTGCTTTTGCTTTGGTGTATCTAAGAAATCATTACCTAACCAAGGTCACAAAGACGGATGCTTGTTCTAAGAGTTTTGTAGTTTCAGCTCTTTCGTTTAGATCTGTGGTCCATTTTGAGTTAATCTTGGAATGTGGTATGAGGTAATAGTGTAACTTCATTTACATGTGGATATCCAGTTGTCCAGCACCATTTGTTGGGTAGACTCCATTATTTGGCACCCTAAACATTTTACTTGTTTATCTCCCTCTACTAAAATGGGAAGTTGGCATGGAGTAGAGACGTGGGAAGGGAGGGGAGGAGTTGGGAGTCTGGGCTAGGACGGGGCAGGAAGGGCTGAGTGAGGTAGACTGGTGGAAGGCTTGAGGTCAGAATCTGTTTGGAGTGGAGACACGTTATGGAGTAATCAGAGTCGGGAAGGAGGATCGAAGTGGAGCATCATGAGCAGCTGTCTAATAACTAGCGTCCTCAAGCTGCAGGTTTGTAAGGGTTGTAATTCATCACCCAGCTACTGTCTCTAGGCATGAATGGGGCCTGCCGCGCAGCTAAGTTATGAATTGCTCCTTGAGCTTGATAATAAAGGTAATGAATATTATGAAGCATATATTAATCAAAGGAAAGAACTGCTTTAAATAAGCATTTTTATTATCTAAAAATAAATGACAAGTCACATCCACATCAAGGATTTAGGACATGTATAATCATCAAGGTAGTTGAAGCCTTTTGAAATTGTAGCCTAAGTGAGGACTAGACTTCTCAATAATCACTGGATGTAGAAACACAGAAGCTTGGTAAAACTTAAGCTGTCAACGCTTCACGCGTGACTCCCCTCCCCACGGTACACCCTCCCTGAGCTGAACCTCACAGGGGTCCAGTCAGCATGCCACAGGAAACTTCTGTAAGGCTAAGATCCTTCGTCTCCAGGTAGGACGGAAGCTAGTGTGAGCGTGTGGGAATCGGCACCCGCAGGCCGTCAGCGTCAGGTGAGAAGCGGGGTGAGGGCGAGGCGGCAGGTGGTCTCAGAGGAAATGACTTGAAAAGTCTGCTGCAAATATTTAGTATGATCTGCATTTTCCAGTGATGTTTTAGGAAACATGGTCTTCTGCTTTTCTTTAGACTTGAGCAGTTTTTTACCCCAAGCTCTGAATTTAAATCTTAAATTAGTGTGTTTTACCTTTTCTTACCTTGTATGACAAAGCATCGGGGAATAGTTTCCTATATCATCTCAACTCCTGTTGGATGATTTTACCTCCCCCCCCCCCCCCCAAGAAAACTCAAATTTTGATTTTTTAATCTTTTTTGCTTAGGCAAAATGTATAAAATAAACTGTTGATTGTTTTGAATCTTAGCATATGGAAACTCTTCCCTCAGGACAGAGGCTTTGTGTCCCTCTTTTTTTTTTAAGATTGGCACCTGAGCTAACCGATCTTCTTTTCTTCTTCTTCTCCTCAAAGCTCCCCGGTACATAGTTGTATATTGTAGTTGTGGGTCCTTCCGGTTGTGGCATGTGGACGCCGCCTCAGCGTGGCCTGACGAGCAGTGCCATGTCCACGCCCAGGGTCCGAACCAGGGAGAAATCCTGGGCTGCCGAAGCGGAGCGCGAGATCTTAACCACTCGGCCACAGGGCTGGCCCCTGGCTCCCTCCTTTTTAACTCCAAAGATTAGTTGCTATATCATCCCTAAAAAAGATTCCTGCTCTAGTTTTTATCCTGGATGAGCAATTTTCTTTATAAGAAGTGGGCAGCGGTGCAGGCACATCCATGATTCTCAAACTGCTGCATTTTGGAATAACCTAGAAATCTTGTAAAAACACGCCTGACTCCCACCCCCTGGCATTCTGATTTTATTGTTATGGGTGTGATCTGCACACAGGGATTTTGTTTTTTAAGCTGCCCAGTTAGTTCTAATGTGTAGCCAATTTAGGAGCCACTGGGTCATGTCAAAATAAGAGAAATGCCCTCTCTGTGACTGAGCTGGAAAACAGAGGGCTAGAGTGTGTTGGAGATCCCTTCAGTTGTAGCTTAGCCCAGAAAGGATGATCACATTTCTAAATGCATTTTTGGATGCTGCAAAATGGGAGGAATGGATACTGAAGTTGGGGGGAAAGCCTGTAAGCTGAAATAGTTCTTTTGATGTTTATGTATACTTCTTTGTAGTTCAGTAATTATCAGTATAAAGGCCATTTTTAGTATTTCCTCTCTTTCTTAGAAAACTACCTCACGGTCAATATAATTCCTTTAGCTACTTTGTTTTTCTTCTCTATACAGCGATGTTACTCTGTTTGACTTGTGTCTTGGCAGTAAATCTGGCCATTGCAGAATTTACTCCCTGGCCATGTTGATCTGCCTTGCACTGCTCCTGGCTCCTTTTCATTTGCCCTTCCCTTGTGTTGCCCTGTTACAACACTTCTGGGTTTTAAGGGTTTCTTTAGAATTCTGCGCTTCTCCCTAGTGACTGTGAAATGAACTGTAATTAACTCTACGGAGACAATTCGGCCTCTGCAGAATCCCACAGCTCATCTGCTTAGGAACTGGGACCTCAGATGCCTGCACGGCCTATGCTCCCGGCCTGGGGTTCGCTCTGCTCACCAGCCCCTCCCTTTTCCGGGTCATGTGGGTTGCACTTAAGCATCCTTTTTAATGGCGTGTGGGCACGAAGAGGAATCCTCATAGGCTTGTCTTGGGCTTTAACTTGCTGGGACTATTGTGGTTTTTATCCTGGGTTCCTCTGATTTTACAGTTCAAATTTATGCCTTGAATTAAACTTGGCTGTGAGGATCTCCCGACCTCATGGTAGTGAGGGTGAAAGCAGGTTGCACACTTCTAGTGTATTCCTTTGCTCTTCCTTGACATTCCATTTTTTCTTCTTTTTTTTTTTTTTTTTGAGGAAGATTAGCCCTGAGCTAACTGTTGCCGCCAATCCTCTTTTTGCTGAGGAAGACTGGCCCTGGGCTAACATCCATGCCCATCTTCCTCTACTTTATACATGGGACACCTACCACAGCATGGCGTGTCAAGCGGTGCCATGTCTGCACCCAGGATCCGAACCAGTGAACCCCTGGCCGCCGAAGCAGGACGTGTGCACTTAACCGCTGTGCCACCGGGCCAGCCCCTCTTCTCTCTCTTTTTAACGTTAGCTCCAGTATAGCAAGAGTGTTAAACAGCAAATCATTCGTTGGAATTTTAAAAAATGATTCATATGGTATTTAACCTTGGGCCAGTCACTCTTCTAAACAGGTGACAAATGTTACTCCTTTAATCCCTGGCCGTCCCTGAAAGATGGGAAAGTAGGTTCTGAAAGGTAAGGTAGCTGGTAATGAAGGAGGCAGGGTTCCACCCCAGAGGTTTTGGCTCTGGCGCATTCTTGACCGGGAAGGTTTGCTTCCACTCCTCTTGCTAGATTTAAGGCTAGTGAAGGAAAGTGGGAAGCAAACGCTTCTTCAAATTTGACTTGAAAATGCCTCTGGCCGGATTCCCTTCCCAAGGTCAGCATGGA